GCCAGGCACTGGGACAGCAACTTCTGCAGTCTGAGGTGTGACAGAAAAACTAGCACAGACTTCTCTTTCTTTCTTCACAATTTCACAGATAGAGGATCTGTGTTTACAGTACATCCTAGCAACCTCAGCGTGACATTTTTCTTTCCTTAGTAAATTGAGAACTGTTTATTCTTTTTTAAAAAATATGTTCTATTTATTTATTTATAGAGAGAGAGAGAGAGAGATACATCGATGTGAAGAGAGAGACATCGATCGGCTGCCTCCTGCACGCCCCCTACTGGGATCAAGCCCGAAACCCGGGCATGTGTTCTGACCGGGACTCAGGAATGGAAGCGGGCCTTTCAGTCTGTGGGACGACGCCCAGTCCACTGAGCCACACTGATGGGTCCACCTGTTCACTCTTTATTTTATTTTATTTTTATTTTTTCAGATAGAGTGGGAGGGAGGGAGAGGAAGAGAGAGAGAGAGAGAAACATCGACGTGAAAGGGACATGAGTGGCTGCCACCTGCACGACCAACCAGGGCTGGGGACAAACTGCAACCGAGGTCCGTGCCCTTAGCGGGAACCGAACCCGGGTCTCTCTGGACCGCAGGCCGACGCTCTAACCGCTGAGCCAAACCGGCCAGGGCTCCACCTATTCACTCTTAAAGGAAGCACTTTACGGCTTCTCAGGGAGTATACTGTATTGCACGCATCACTACTCTAGTGCTTTCGGGCCATCGTTAAGTAAAATGAAGGTCACTTGAACACAAGCACTGCGAATCACCACCCTGGATCTGATCACCACGGGGCTACAAAGTGACCAGGGGGTGAGGCGCTTCTACAGTGTGGATTCGCTGGACAGAGAGCAAATTCCCGCCCCAGGCAGGATGGAGTGGGATGGTGTGAGACTGCATCGCGCTATTCAGAACTGCGTGCAATTTGAAACTTATGAATTGTTTTTCTAAAATTTTTTATTTAATGTTTTTGGACCACAGTTGACCACGGGTAACTGAAACCACAGAAAGTGAAACTGCAAATAGGGGGTACAACTGTGCCCATGGCTGTCCCTCGGGGGGTAGAAGGCTGGTGGGCAGGTGTTCCGCACGGACTCGCTGCGAGGGTCCCAGGCGGGAGCGATCACTTGTTCACAACACGTGTGAGGCTGCCCCGGGGACTCCGGAAGTAACTCGGGCCAATCAGCAGTGGGGTGCAGTCCACAGGGGCTGGTAAAGGCAGACACTAGGGTTGGGATTACGACCTGCTCCTGGGTTCCCACTGATATGGCTGAGACATGAGGAAACCTGAATTTCACCAGCAAAGTGCAAAGTGTGGATTCCTCCAGGGACCAGCTAGCAAGATGATACCTGACTCCTCCTTGGAGACCTTTGTTCTAGGAGAAACGTTTTCTCTTGAATCTTCCCACTTATAGCGAGTTCCATGAGCCCCAAATGCCCTCTTTGCTCAGCTGTGGAGCTGAGGTGCACCCCAGTTCGACACCCCAGCACACACCCGTCTCTGACCCACCAAGGCCCCTGAGCAAAGTCTGCCACTAAACGCCGTGTAGACACACAAGTGCCTGTCTAAGCAGGAGGGCGAGACCAAGGGGGCCAGCCAGGCCCCTGCGCGAGGAGGGCCCAAGGAGAGACCAAGGCCAAAGAGAGACACTAAACACAATAGCTTCTTTATTCTCCGCCTTATCACGTTCTCTATTTTACCAAGTTATCTACAGGAAAAGCCAAATCTTTCTCAAAATCAAATGTAAAAAACACTAGTTAACGGCTTGTCACAATCCACGCGAGCTTCCTGTGTCTCCTGAGGTGTGTGACTTTATCGTGTGATAAACAGGAGTCGCAGACGGCACCCAGCCTGCTGTGACTGAGGTGGTTCCACCATGCGGGGAGAACTGGACCGACCTGGGCCGCGTGGCACCCCACTCAGGGACAAGGCCCCTGTCATGAAAGGAGACGAATGTCAACATTTTTCCCCACTCACCTCCACTAACTCCTGGCTCATTCAGAGAAAGTGATTGACAACCCCAAAGGCTGCTGGACAACTATTTGAAAGAGGGTCCACAGAGAGGCCTCCTCCACCTGTTACTCGTTTCTTTATCACTTCACGTCCATAGGGGTCCCTAAGCCCCAAGAGAAGGGTCAAGTGCAAATCTGGTAAACCAAGAAGCCCTAGCAGTTGTCAACTTAATTAGCCTTCAAGAAAAATATATGGCTGCATGAGCACCGTGGAGTTGCTATAGAGACAGCCCCACGAGGCGCATTTAGAACAGGGCCTCATCACATCACCTGATAAAAATAAGACCCAGGCTTTTTAATAGAATGAATTACTTAAGTTTTATATTTAACAGGGGACGATACCCAGGCTATTACTGGTTTTCAGAAAATTCTAGGAATCTGGGCTGCCTGTTTCTGCATATGTTAACAGCCATCACAACATATGCTCTGGTGGCTGGCAGTTGAGAATGAGAAGCTCATGTGTCTCTCTCATCCCCTGAGAAGAGAGAGGGTCCTTCTCACTTGGGGTTTGCCCTCCCTTCGTTGGGTAAGAAATTTTCAAGGCGTTTCAGAGCAAAGCCCGGAGAAGAGTTCTGCTGTGCTCTGCACCAGGACATTTGCATATACCATTGTTACTCCCTATAACAACCCTCCGGAGTCACGATCTCACTTTGCAGATGGAAAATCTGCGGCTCAGAGAAGTTCAACATTTTCCCAAGGGCACACAGCTAATAGTAGTAGAGTTAGAATTCAAATCCAGGTGTCTCCCCCTTCCTAAGCCTGTTGCTTTATGACACTCACCGATCTCTGCACAGGAGGAACCTGGGAGAGGTGAATCTAAAGAGATTAAATATTTTGCCCTGGCCGCTTTGGCTCAGCGGTTAGAGCGTCGGCCTGCGGTCCAGAGAGACCCGGGTTCGGTTCCCGCCAAGGGCACATACCTCGGTTGCAGTTTGTCCCCGGCCCCTGTTGGTTGTGCGGGAGGCAGCCACTCAATGTGTCCCTTTCACGTCGATTTCTCTCTCTCTCTTCCTCTCTCTCTCCCTCCCACTCTATCTGAACAAAAACTGGGAAAAAAATGTCCTCGGGTGAGGATTAAAAAAAAAGAGAGAGGTTAAACGTTTTTATTAATAGATAGCACAGACTTTGTCATAGTTTAATCTCTTCTCTAAAGAAGTCCCAGAGTAAATGCATCCCAAGAAGAATTCCAGAGACCACGACCTCTGCTGATGAGCCCTCTCTGACTTTCCAAGGCAAGTGTTCATTTCAGACTGACTGCTGACCATCAAGGTGCTCTGCACGCCGCTTCCCCAGGTTGGGGTAGCAAAATGAACACAAGACTCTGAGGTCAACCTCATTGACGCTGTGTCGCCGCTGCTCTTACAGACAGACGTGCAAGCTTAGGTGCATGAAATCAAGCTGGGAATCCAAAGGGAAGGGTTTGCGTTGCGGGGGGTGGGTGGTTGTTGTTTTCGGACAACTTTGTATTTGCATTACTCATGCCTCGCCTACTCTACATAGAGATGCTATTTATTTATTTATTTATTCATTTATTCATTTATTTACCATTTCCCCAACACAGGCCCACACAGTAGACTCAGTCTGTGCCCACAAGGTGCCAGTCTTTCCTTGTGGTGGGAAATGGTGGTGCTGGTGATGATGGGGCTCGGCGGGAGGCAATGGATGTTACAGGGAGGGGAAAGGTGGTTGGGAGCTGGGGGCCCAGTCGTGAGAATGACACTAAGCAGGATACATACACGCCTCCTCGCGCTCCGCTCAGTTCCTCGGCTGAAGCGATGACAGAAGATGCCTGGGCTCCAAAGGATCTGAGAGCACGTGGAAAGGGCAAAACTGAATTGTGTGGCTTGGCAGACACTCTAGCCAAAGCATAACACTCAGTGAAGTAGGCAGGGAGGCAGAAGGCAGGTAGACACCACAGCCTGGAGGCTGAGACCCACGCCGGAGCAGACTTAGAAGAGAGGAGGGAGGGCTGTCACGGAAGTCCCTGAGCGGTGGGGCTCGCCCTAGGAGCTCTCCCCACGCTGCCTGCAGCCCCAGCTGCGTACATGAGTGACTCAGTCCGTGCTATTGAAACAATCCTGTACTTTGCTCTTGGCGTGCAGTGAGCTCAGCAGCCTCTGTGGGCCGGCCTGGAGGTCTCCTTTCTGCTACAGGTGCTCATACAGAGGTTGGAAGCATAGGCTTCTGACTTAGGCCAGCTTCATGTTCTGGCTTTGCCACCTACTAGCTATGGTAACTCGGGCAAGTCATTTCAGCTCTCTGTGCTTGGGTTTCTTGTCTATAACATTGCAATAATATCAATCAGATGCCAAAGCTAAACCTAGGCAGGAAAATGGCCGGTGGCCGATGTCAAGGGCCAGAGACCATTTCCACCCACTGCCTGGGTGACCGCCATGGCCAGGACAGTGAGCAGAAGCCAGACCCCAGCCGCCCTCCCTCTAGGACGCGAATGTTCCTTGGATCCCTCCCCAGCCCCACCACCCAATCTCTGTCTTCTGCTAAAAGTGTCCAGCTATTCCGTGTCCCCTGAGCATCTCTTGCTGTGAGCCGTGAGCTCTTTCCATGAAAAGGTCTCTAAGGTAACTCAGAGGCCGTGGTCATCACGTGCCAGCGAGCCTTCCCCGATCCCTGTCTTCACCCTTTGCCCTCTAAATAAGGAAGCCAGCGCTGCCAGGCCGAGAACTGCTGCCCAATTTGGATCCTGGGTAGCCTCTCGCCTCCCTCTTTCCCTGGGCCCCCGGCCAACTCCTCCCTCCCTCAGAGATGCTCCCTGCTCGCTTCATTCCTGCCTCATAGTTGGAATGGCAGTGCCTCCCAGAATCCCTGGGGCATGGGGAGAGTGATGGGGTCTGGGGAGCAGCCAGCCCAGGAGCAGGTTAATGTTACAGCCCTGGATAAGTGAGCCGGGCCAGCTGACGTCAGGGTGATGATGGGTGGAGGGGAGGGCCGGCTGCTGAACTATAAAGATAGGTCAAATCAAATATAATCACCTCGGGACAGAGCTAGCGGCGAACTAGACAGCGTCCCCACGCCATGGTCCCCACCAGCCGCGGCTCAGCCTGGGTCCCTCTGCTCCCGACTCGAGTGCCCGAAGCAGGCTTTGGTTTTATGTCAGCAGCCTTCATCTGCCTTCCAAAAATAAGCCCCTGCCGCCATGCCGAGGGGAGAAAAACAAGAAGGGCGGTATTTTTAGGGTCATTAATTCTGACCACGTGCCTGAGAGGCAAGGTGGATGGCCCTGGGACAGAGGCTGTTCATCGCTATGTCCCGGGGAGCAGGACGTCTTCAGGGCACGCTGCAGGCTCTCATCTTCCTAGGCGTCCTCGTGGGCATGGTGGTGCCCTCGCCTGCAGGCACCCGCGCCAACAGCACGCTGCTGGACTCGAGGGGCTGGGGCACCCTGCTGTCCAGGTCCCGAGCTGGGCTAGCTGGAGAGATTGCTGGCGTGAATTGGGAAAGTGGCTATTTGGTGGGGATCAAGCGGCAGCGGAGGCTCTACTGCAACGTGGGCATCGGCTTTCACCTCCAGGTGGCTCCCGACGGCCGGATCAGCGGGATCCACGAGGAGAACCCCTACAGTGAGTGCCCGTTGCAGCCAGTTGGGAAGCTGGGGGCTTGAGCTCAGGCAGGGCTAGAAGATGAGGGGGCCCTGCTCTGATGCTCGGGTCCTGTCACAAAGCAGACAGCAGTGCCTCTCTCCATGCGGATCCCTGTGACAGCACCACCCTCCCAGACTCACGGTGACCCTGCCTAGATGCAGGCTCCAGAGGCCGAGGCCCAAGCATCCCATGCCCTCTGCCATCACCCCATGGAGCACTGGGAACTGTCAGCCTGGGAAGCCATAAGGCGAGGATGGGGAGAACAAGTGAGGATACTCAGACCAAATTAGACACAAGCTTGTTTTTATTTAGCTTCCCCCTTTGGGAAGGAAAGGCGAGTGGTTTGCAGTTTCCAGCGGAAGCAGACCCTTCTTCCCATCCCAATCTGCCCGCCGTCACCAGGTCTGTGTCCTAGGAGCTGATGGGCCGCTGCACAGACAGGCTCTCCCATCCAGCAGGGCGTGGGAGGGGCTGCGGGATCCAGGCGAACCCTCAGCTCTGCGGGTGCGTTTGCAAGATTAGATGGGCTGAGATTGGTCGAAACACGTGGAGTGCACATTCTCAGCAAAACTAATCAGAATGCATTTTCTCCCCAACTCGAGGGACTAAGTCAGCAAGAGCCCAGGTTCAGAGCTAATCTGAAGTGGCTACCTAAGTGGCTGCAATGGTCCTAACTCTAATGTCAGACGGTCCCCTTGCAGATTGGATTTTTGACAGTAGAGTGACAAGACCTGCTGAGTCTAGAAGCCAGATATCCTAAAATTAGAGAGATCAGGGATGGAGGTGATGGAGAGTCGGACTTTCTAGGAGCAGCGGGGTGGGCTGAGATGTCCTTGCGGGGTCACGTTACTGGTGTCCCTCTCTGATTTGCACGAGCCTGGGGTAACAGCCCATCTCCTCGCCAGGCCTGCTGGAGATCTCCACAGTGGAGCGGGGTGTGGTGAGTCTCTTTGGAGTGCGAAGCGCCCTGTTTGTGGCCATGAACAGTAAAGGAAGACTCTACACAACGGTGAGTTCGCCCAGCCAGGGGAAGCTCCGGGTCGCACAAGACTGAAAGTCTACACCCCTGAATAAAATAATGCCAAATCTCGAGTCTAGAAATGAATACTTATCTAGAATGAGGAAAGAGGGGGGCCGTGGGAGGAGCCCGCACAGGCGAGGGGCCTTGGATCTCAGGCATGATGGGCTTCACAGGGCCCTAGCCTCGGCACGGGACCCCATCTTTCCTGATCCTACCTGCCAGAGCTTTGTGAAGAAACAGGAACCGGAGCTCAGGGGGCTACTGGTCTAAGGGACACCTGCCTTCTGGCACCCAGCTGTCACCAAGGCTACGGGAGGTGTGAGTCCCTGACCTGGACAGGCCCATGGGAGCAGCCTGTCGAGTGCCCACAACCCCTCTCCAAGAGCACAGTGGGAGGAGGAGAAATGACTCTTCTCCTTCCTTCGTCAGCATGTGGGCATTTTACTGTAAGGGTCTAAGTCTTCTAATCGCTGATCCCAGAGGCTAGAGCAGCAGGTCCCTATTCTAACCCCTGGTGGACACCAGGCCCACCCCTCCTCTTCCCTACCCCAAGTCACCCGGCGAGGCCACCCGGCGACTTCTGAACACATTTACCGAAGTCTCCGCCCTCTCTGACCCCTTCGTCCTGGGTGTCTCAGCCCATGACTTGGCTGATTCCCAAATATGGGCTGGGAAGGCATCCCTGTGATGTTGAAGAAACTGAGTTCTTTGGACAGAAATAAGAAGGCTAAAAAGGAAGGGCTCTGAGCAATCGTCAAGGAATACCAGAGCTATTTATGGGAAGGGTGTGGAAGGCTGCTCTACGGCTCCTGGGAGACACGCTGAGGATCAGGAAGTGAAAGGAGAGATCTGGGATGGGTGTCAGCTTCTGGGTAAACTGTCCCAGCAGAGGAGGTGCTCAGGTGGCCTCTGCCCTTGAACCCCTCTTGTCTGCACACAGCCGTGATTGACGCAAGACCTTGGAGACCTGGTGTCTCCGCGGTGAAGTGAGGATGAAGATCAGACGTGCCTCCCAGGGGAGATCACGCTCAGAAAGCTCCCTGCGGGGCACCCTGCACACAGTAGGTGCTCAGTACGGGGCAGCTATTTATAGTGTCAGGAGGGCAAGGCACCCTCCTCGAGGCTCTGCACCTCTCTTTCCTACAGCTGAGACACATGGGAGGCCACTGGCATTCACATCACCTTGGTAACGTGTTCAAAGTACAGATCTCCAGGGGCCTCCCGCAGAGATGCTATGCGCTAGGGCTGAGCTGGGGCCTGAAAGTCAGTTTATGGGTTTTGCTTTTTAAGTTTCTCTCATGTTTCTGAGGCACAGGCAGCCATGGGGACCACCAGGCTTCATGTCCTCTGCCCTGCCCTAGGGTTGCCCCAGCCACAGGGCAAGCTGGAGGGCTGGGGAGACGAAACAGGGCATGGACTTCTCAGACGCTCTTTAGACTCTGCGAAGGTGGTGGAGAGGACAGGAGGCCAGGACCAACCCAGGCTTCAGCGGAGTGGGTACCCCTCTGTGGAGGTCTCATCCCAAAGGGGCCGTCTCCCCAGCATGCGTAATGCCTGGAGCCCCACTGGCTGGAGAGCTGCTGGTTGGAGAGAGTTGGGGGGTGAGCGCTGGGACCTCAGGCGGGTAAATCTGGACGGAAGCACTCAGTCTAACAACCTTACCCTCGCCACCTTGATGACACGCTGTTTCCTATTCCTCCTCACTCAGAAGGGAATTCACCTGCGAGGCAGGAAAGGGCACACATGAGGGGGACAGTTGTCCCCTCCCCCCAAAGTCCGCAGTCCTGCAGGAGAAGCCGGGGAGGCTGGCAACGAGAGAGTTAGCCATCAGAGGGGGTGCTGCAAGGGGGGGCCTTTAGAGTGACCACAGGATGGACGGCAGCGTCTCTGCGAAGTGTGGACTGACTCCCAGAGCAGCCGACACCCTGCCCTCGCTCATAGCACATGACTTCAAAGGGGACCGAGCAGGGCTCACGAAGTGAACAGGGTTTAGGAAGAAGGGGGACTTTTCTGAGAGAAGACTGCCCACTCCACGCGCGTGCACACACACTCTCACACACTCTCACACACACTCACACACACACTCACACACACTCACACACATACTCACACACACACACACCAGGAGCATTTGGTCCAGAAGCACCTTCTCCATGGGAGTCGGGGGTGGGGGTCTCCTCCTGGAGCCCAGGGCCAGGCAGGAGTGGGCTGACAGGGGGGGTCACAGAGCTGTGCCCCAAGTCTGGGCAGCGATGTCCACCCCTCTTACCACCCACAGGGCCTGTTACCACAGTCTGGAAAACAATTGCCAACCGACCCTGGAGCCAGGCAGACTCCTGCTGGGTGATGATTTCACTCACCCGATTTCCCTCTAAGCCCCAGAGCTGCCCTGGCTGCCTTGGCTCAGCTGCTACTGCCAATGAACAGGACTTCTCACGGGGGAGGGGACAGGGGACAGCCATGCTGGAGAACAGGTGTCAAGAAAGCCCACCTGAGGAAAAGTGGCCTCCCACGTGTCTCAGCTGTAGGAGAGGGGTGCAGAGCCTCGAGCAGGGGGCCTTGCCCTCCTGACAATACAAATAGCTGCCCGTACTGAGCACCTACTGTGTGCAGGGTGCCCCGCGGGGAGCTTTCTGAGCGTGATCTCCCAGCACCCCTGGGAGGCGCATCTGATCTTCATCCTCACTTCACAGCGGAGACACCAGGTCTCCAAGGTCTTGTGTCAATCACGGCTGTGTGCGGGCTGCCTCGGGGCCTGGCACGTAGGCAGGTGAGGCCGGTGGCAGAAGCAGTCGGTGGGCAAACTAGGTCCCCCATTCACATGAGGCAGAAATCAGTGAATTCCCATCTCCTTTTCAAAATTAAAAAAACCAAGGATCTCCACCTGACAGCGGTTCTGTTAGACTCCTTCGGCTGAACAACGTCCTGTCGACGAAAGAATGCCCCGCTGAGAAAAAGTCTCGAAAGAGTTCGTTTGAGCCAAACTGGGGACAACTGCCGGGAAGCCAGCTCTCAACAAACAGAAAATGCTCTGGAGAACGGCAGTTTTGCAGCTTATTTTATACATTAGAATCAAAGGGGGAGAGCCCGGCCGGTGTGGCTCAGTGGTTGAATGTAGAACCCTGCACCAAGAGGTCGCCGGTTCGATTCCCGGTCAGGGCACATGCCCAGGTTGTGGGCTCAAGTCCCAGTGGGGGGCGTGCGGGAGGCGGCCAGTCCATGTTCTCGCTCATCGATGTTTCTATCTCTCTCTCCCTCTCCCTTCCTCTCTCTCTAAAATCAATAAAGGGGGGGATTAAAAAAAAATCAAAGGAGAAGATGTAAGGGGGTTACTGAAATCTCTTAGTGGTAGATGAGGGAAACCGCAGAAAGGAAAGCGGGGAGTCTCTGGGGTTGGGTAGAGTGAAATGCACGGACTTCTGCCTCACTGGGCACAGCTCACAGAGGTGGTATTCAGGGAACAAGGTGACAGGGAGGGTCCTCTGGCCTCTGCTCTGGAGCCTGCGGTTGTGCCCCCAGGGCCTGGAACAGGAGATCCTCTCGGTTCAGGTGTGTTATTTTAGGGGCAAAAAGACAATAAACTCGCTCCGTTAAGGTAAAGGTTGACCTTTGCCAGTGAAGCCACAGGTCAGGACATGATGACCCACCACAGCCCCCCTGGAGTTAGGAGTGTTGATGTTCAGACCATCCTGTGCGCTGACTTCCCGTGTCTGAGTCTGGAGGGCCCACCCTGCTGGCCTCCCCTGAGCCTGTCAGGGTTAGTGTGTGGCCCCTTTGACGTCCACAATACACAGTAACAAAAAGGTACCGAACATTCAGCTATGCTTTTAAGTGATTTAAAAAAAATTTTTTTTTAATGTTTTTATTGATTTTTAGAGGAATAGGAAGGGAAAGGGAGAGATAGATGATAGATGATAGATAGATAGATAGATAGATAGATAGATAGATAGATGATAGATAGATAGATAGATAGATAGATAGATAGATAGAAAGAAAGAAACATCAATGAGAAAGAAACATTGATCGACTGCCTCCTGCACACCCCCTGCCGGGGATGGGGCCTGAAACCCAGGCATGTGCCCTGACCGGGAATTGAACCAGTGCATGGGACGATGCTCAACCAACTGAGCCACATCGGCCAGGCTTAAATGATTTTAGTTTTACAAATTATAACTGTGTCTACATCTTTTAAATCAGTAGTATGACAATGTGCAAAACACACGATTTACTTCACCCAGAGAGGCCTTTGAGAATTACCTGGGGGAGGGGGACCCAGCCTTCCCTCCAGCAGTGCTCAGTTGGCTGCTGCTCCCATCTGGCCCGAACGGAACGGCTTCCAGAGGGGATGGGACAGAGGACCCGAGCCCAGCCCCTTGCGGAGCTGCAGCGGGGCCTGCAGAGCCCTGCAGACAAGCCCACGTGCCGCGCCCGCTGCAGAGAGCTGTCAGGAGGGAGAAGAACGATCTCCTGGTGCAAGCATTTCCCACACTTCTACACTGTCCATGCAGTTGTGTGTTAGGAACAAGGGGGAGCAAATACGGACCTCCTCGGAGCTGGGAGATGTCATTTCTTCTTTTAAGCGAAGGACAGGGAAAGAAGCAGTGAGGGGCTGCAGAAGGAACGAGTCTTAGGACAAAGAGTTTTCTTTTTTGTGTCTACTGCCCACCTCCTTAAATCACCCCCCACCTCCACACACACACACACACACACACACACACACACACACACACACAGGAGTAATAGGGACAAGCAGCCAAAGGCAGCCATAGCAGGAAGAACTTGAAAGACAAGAGTACACTTCCATCAGTCCGGGTGACCTGGCTCTGCCTAAAGGCAAGAGACGGCCGTGTGGTCCACTCGAGACGGGGAGGGGCATTTCTGCCACAGGTACTCCTGCTGAATCTCCCACACAGCTACCCCTCTGCAAACGGCCTCCTCCATCGTGAGAGCTAAATGCTTCTGAATTTGGTTCCACAGAAGTCTGATGAGACCTGGATGGAATTTAAGACATTGTCACCCTGGGGCGTGAGGCCCAGCAGGCCCGGAAATGTGATCTGCTGGAATTATTTTCATTTGTTCAAGTAATAATATACGGTAGCTGCTTATACTATCAGGGCGTTCACTTGGCGCGAGTGGTTTTTTCGCCAGAGCTGAGGAGCCACCATTCCTGAGCCGTGAGAACTCCGTGCTCTGGGAAGAGGTGATGGATCAAGGGGAGGGGTCGAGGTACCAGCTGAGGGGCAGTCTGCAGGAAACCCCCCACCCCCACCGGCCTGAAGCATCAGGGACTTTGTCTTGGAGCCCTGCCACAGGTCTGAGCCACTGGCCCGAGCTGAAAGCAACAGGCAAGGGAAAGGTAGAGAGGGCTTCCCAAGCAAATTCACCTGTTTCTCTGTTTCACTTTCAATTTGTGCAGAATTCTGGCGATAGCTAGGAATACATGAAAAACTACTTAAAAGGGGGCAGAATGGGAGGGGGGTAACCCACAAAAGTCAGAAATCTTTATTTAAAAAAGGCAGGATTTGAATAATCAAAATCTGATGAGCAGAGAACAAAATACAATATATAAACCACCGTCATGCACCTGTAACAAATATGTTTTAGGAGACGCAGACACGAAGGAAAGGCTGGATTCTTAACTGGGACATTCTAGAACAGAGGCTGTGAGCCAAGGCCCCCTTGGCCTCCTCCCCCCAACCCTCTGCCTCAGGATTTGATTCCCTCTCTAGAGTTTGCAAACCACACATGAAACCTCTCCCCCAACCACCATCCAGATCAGAAATGAATTCTCTGGAAATCAACAGGCAGTTGCCCTCCAGGGACACACAAAGTTAGAACAGAAGGGAGAGCAGTGGGTGGAGCCGGAGCTGTGACAAGGGAAAGAGGAGACCCCCGGTGTCTGATGCCCGTGTTTTCTCCATTTCCTGGCCCGTCTTCTATCCCGAGCTCCTTTCCATTTTAAGCAAGCTACTCCTATGACTAGGTAATACGTGAACATGGTCTAAGGGGGAAACAGGTCCCAGAGAATATGCCATGGGAATCCTCACTGTTGTGCCCAAACCACCCACCTCCTCCCCAGAGACAGCCACTGTTACCAATTTCTTGAGTGCCATTCCAAGAGGAACCCGTGTCCCCTGCACACACAGAGATCATTGTCTTCAATCACACGAAGAGGAGCATACTATGCACACTGTTTGTGCCTGGCTTCTTCCCTTAACAACACACCTTTGAGACCCTGTGAAGTCAGTGCACAAACAGGTTTCTGAGGTTCTTATGTCCTATAGCATTCCACTGTGTGGATGTACCGACATTGAGTTACTCACGCCTCTTAACGGACACGCAGGCTAATTGCGGTCTTTTACTACTGCAGGAACTTTTGTACACGTGTGGGAGTGTACCCGGAAGATACATTTCTAGGAGAATTACTAATCAAAGCTATATTATTTTTTATTCTAATAGATCCTGTCAAGTTGCTCTTTATAAAGTTTATAACAATTTGCACTTCCATGGACATTAAATGAGAATTCCTAGTCTCTGTGCTCTCACCAATGAGAGTACATTATCAAATATTGTCCTCTTTCTAATATGACAGGTAAAAACGGGATCTCAATTTTTATGTGATTTACATGTCTCTTGTTAAGCATAGTTTATGTTTCAATGCTGTTTGTATTTCACTTTCTGTGAATTGTCTGTTTATTAACATCCATTTTTCAGTGAGTTGAGGGTTCTGAATATCGTAACAAAATGTCCTCTTTGCAATATATTGCAAAATATACTACAAAATATAATGCATTGGAAATATTTTTAAATTTCGTTTATTTACATTTTCACTTTGTTAAAGGTTTTTCATTTTTTCCAGGCTGAGTCAAATTTATTTATTTATTTATTTATTTATTTATTTATTTATTTATTTATCTTTATGGCTTTTAGTTTTTTTGTGTCCTGCTTAGAAAGTTCTTTCTGATTTTTAAAAAATATTTTCCTGACTCTCCAAGTTTCTCTTTTTAAATCGGTGGTTCTTTTGGAATTTATTTTAATATACTGAACAAAGTCATACATCAAACTATTACTGTTATTATTGCTATTATTATTATTACCAACACCATATTTTCCCCGGTGATTTTTTAAATATTTAAATCGTTTTTATTTATTTTTTTATTGATTAATTTATTTATTTTTGTTACAGATGTTTCTCCTTTTCCCCCCACTGATTTACCCCCCTCTCCCTCCACACCCTGTTCTATTTTTAGATCCACTATTATTTTGTGTTCACTTCAGATCCACTTTTATTTTATATTCATACATGTTTGGATTTACTTCTTGACTTTGTTTTATTCATTGATGCACACCAGATTTTTCATCAATGTGGCTTTATTTCTATTCACCTTTGCTAATCAGTCCTGAGTTTATTTTCTCCTAGTGTTGTTGCTCCAGAACCTTGCCCATCAACAGTCTTAGGTCCTGTGACTGACTCTACACCCCATGACAGGTCAGGGAGCCGCGGTCCGGAGAGGCCCTGAAGAGGGCCAGCCTCCGCTTCTGCTAATCCTGGCTCTGTGCCCACTCACGCAGGCTCGCTGCCTGCCAGTCATTCAGGCCCTGATTGCAGTGCTTCAAAGCTAAGCTGTCCAACAACCCACCATCTGCAGAAATGGTGATCCAAGGCAAGGCAAAGTCTCTCAGGACTTTTAATGTACAGTAGTTTATGACTTCATTGCAAAAGCAAAATTATAGTAATAACAATTATTTTTATTTTACTACGTGCCAGCACTTTTCATGCATTATCTCAATTAGTGCTTACTCCAAGTCTATTCTTACTGCTCCCACTTTACAGATGAGGAAACTGAGGCTTAGGAAGTTAATGTGCCCAGGTTCACATAGCTACATAAGAAGTGTATCATCATCAGTCTAATCTCAAAGTTATTACTCAGATATGCTCTTTACCCACTTTGATTTGTTTATTTTCCCGACCTTTGGGGTAGTCCTGCCTTCACTCATTCTGCAAATACTTATCGAGCACGCATAAGGAGGGAAAGGGTAGGAAACTCCTAGGTGGTACCAAGGAGCCATTTGATGGTGGCTGATGTGAGCTTTCACAATTGTCTCAACAAGTTAATACAACATGACGGTGCTTTGTACACCAGGGCTGAGAGAGGAAGGCGAAGGGGCCGGATGGGAGTGCTCAGTGCGGCCCCACAGACCACAGCTCCTCTCTGCTCTCTCCCACCCTGCAGCAAGGCAGCCATCCACCGGGGGGTCGCTCACGGCTCAGTGTTGTCCCTATCAAGTCATCATTCATTCATCAGCAGGTACTCAACAAGGACACTTCTTGTCTTAAGGAACTCAGAGTCTCTCGGGAAAGAAAAACCTGTCCCCAGGGATCACACACTGTTTTAAATGCTGTCTGAGAGGCTGGGGGAGTCTGGGAGCTCCAGGGAGCAAGCTCATCACCTATGCGTTCATAACAGGAAGAGGCTCCTCCATCGCCCACTGCCAGCCAGGTCGGGAGCTCGTAGTACCATCCTTTAGAGAAGGTCAGATGACACCCCGGGCACAGCCGGTCAGCCACTGAGTGGGTTTTTTATAGCTGATGGCCCCAGTCAGCAGGAAGGAGTCAGAAATTATACTCCACCTATTTCCCTCTGTTTCATTCTTTACTTGTTAACGACTACACCCCGGTCTCCTGGCTCCCACCTTGCCCGCTTCCCCTGGACCCCGTGGAGCTCCTTCTCTTAAAGGCACAGAAACCTTTCCAGCCTCCCTCAGGCCAGCTCGAGGAGCAGAGGGCTCTCTTTTCTAGGAATCAAGGAGGACTTGGGTGATTTATTGGGAAATGAACTTGCTGATGTGCGACAGGAAATCCACCCCTCGTTTTCTGAACAGGTGGTCCACACAGAGCCCTCTACCAAATCAGTGATGCATCACAGGCCCCAGACCCCATGGCCCCACCTGTCACACAGGGAAGCCAGGTTCTTTGCCCCAGAAAAATCACTGCTCCCCGCCATCTCTGTTCCTGCACTGCCCTGGAGAACTGTGACTGTCCAGGGGGGCACAGGGCATCTTCGGGGCTCGAAGTCAAAATGCCTCTTTCAGGAATACCAAACTTGGGACTTTACGTGGGAAAGACAGGGAGGATATACAAGTAGAAAAAGCAAGTTATCATATTCAAAAACAGAGTGGGAAAGGACTGGACCCCTCTACCAGCCACCCCCGCCATGCAGTTTGCAGAAAAGGGGACCCAGGCTGAGCAGGGAGGACCCTGCCCAGGGCCACACCAGCAAGCAGGAGAGAAGCCACTAACTAGAGCCCGGAGCTCGCTCTCAATCCCGCTGCACTGGACGGCCTCTCGCAGTGGACTGGAGAGAACAGCCTATTGTATCATTTTCCGCTCCTTTCTCTGAGTGGCATAAATGATCATCTAGGTGTTTAGTAGAAAGTGCCCTGAACTGGAAGTCAAGAGACTTACCCTATGGGACACAGACCAGCCACCTATGTCCCTGGGCCTTGGTTTCCTCCTTGTGAAGGAGGGAAGTAAGAGGGGACCATGAGAGTTCTGACGCCTCTTCCTGTCCGAACCTCCCATGATTCTGTTCTCCCAGGATGCCTGGCATCTCACAGGGGCTGCCTTACAGCGGGGAGGGGAGGGACGCCTGGCAGAGGGCTCTGCGGTGCCTCGGCCATGACCTGCCTGCTGTTTGTCCCTCTTCCGCAGCCCAGCTTCCACGAGGAATGCAAGTTCAGAGAAACCCTCCTGCCCAACAATTACAATGCCTACGAGTCAGACCGGTACCGAGGGACCTACATCGCACTGAGCAAATACGGACGGGTAAAGCGAGGCAGCAAAGTGTCCCCCATCATGACCGTCACGCACTTCCTTCCCAGGATATAAGGACCCTGAAAGAAGGCGCACAGGCTGCCAGTGACATTTTTTCTATTGGAATTTTGCACAAGAGAACAGGTCCCCTTACCCCGTGACTCCTGCCTCAGGCTCGCTTGTGCTGGGGGCGACCTGAGCTGGTTCCTTGGCCCACCAGACCCCTTGACATGTAACCCACCCGGTGAGGGGTTGCAGCCAGCACTCGGGAATGGCAATGGAGCGCGTGCTCTGACCTCACCTGAAGAAAGAAGGTACAGATGACCCTCGTGGGATGTGACTTTGCGCACGGGAAAAGGCCAGGGTGGAAATGTGTGTGTGTCGATGTATATCCATCCGCACATCATTGTGTGTGTGGTCAGAGCAAAGGCATTTCAGAGCATTGGGTTTCTTTCTTCCAGATCATCGCGGCAGGCACCTGCCGGCCAGAATGTCACTTGTCACCCCAGCGGATCGATATGTACTCCGTTCTGCCACCTTTCCATTGAGAGGCCCCTGGCTGCACGTTGGCGGGCGCAGCAGGGGGGCAGGGTGAGCGCGAGTAAGATTTAAGTGCAAACCGGGAAGAAAGGGAGCAAACACTCCAATCTTTCTGCTCAGAGGACTCTGGGGACACTGGGATGCATTATGAGGGCAGCCGGGGGTGGGGGACGCCCTTCTTGGAGGAAAGGGGGCGCGGTTTCTCGGGCAGCTGGGGAGGCTGCTGGGGGCAGGGGGGACTGGATGTTCTGTGGAGAGCCCTTCTGCCTGGAGGGAGGGTCAGAGCTGTGTGGCTCCAAGATCAAGCGGGGCCAGGCTGCCTGCCCATAACTTTTCCTCACTGTGAACCAGGTCTTATTTTAACCTCAGATGACAAGGATCCTAATAATGGCAACCTCTTTGGCAAGGGGTGAAGGGGTGCAAAACAGGGCATGAAGGAAGTAGAGAAGCTCTGGACTCCAGATGATAATTCCTCTCCAGCTACGTCCAGGAAACTCACCCAAGTTCTCATCCGATACCCACACTTCCTTCTCGGTCGTCCTCATCTCACATGCACACCGGTGCCCGGATGCAGGAGAACGGGCACCCTGACGTCGGGGTCTGCCCCCGCCGGCCCCGCGGCAGAAGAGTGTTAATCCTGTAAAATCAAGCAGCCAGGCTGAGGCAGCTCCTTGCTGCCAGTGTCTTCTTGCCTGCTGCCCTTTGAGAGTATTTAAAGCAGAGGTTCCCCAAGCGACTATAAATGTTGTCCGCCCGGAGCCTTCAGATTCCTGAGCTGTTGGAACGTCCCTAAATCTGAAACCAGAGAGAGCCAGAGCACAGGGCAAATGTTTTCAGCAGACGTGAACCACAGAGTGACAAGATGACCTGACACCCTCTGCTCCTCTCGGGGCCCCTGCCTGCAAAGCAGCCCCCTGTCTGCGGCCAGTGCTCAGCTCGGGCTAACCTGTCCAGCGCAGATGTGCCCGTCTATGCACAGATCGGACCTGGATGACCGCAGCCGAAGAGGGACGCTGGCAATACAAGGGCGAGGTGCCGTGCGGGCCTCCTCTGCCCGGCAGGCGGCCGGAGGACATGTGCTGGGTGGGCAGGAAAAGTCCGCGCCGAGGCGAGCGGAGCGTGCACAGACAGGATGAGCTCAGGAGCAGGCGTGGGCGTGGCCAAGCCTTGGATGGAAACTGGAAGGACCCGAGGTCCTGGGTCAAGTAGAAGGGAGAGAAAACTGGTCCATCTTGACTGGAATCTTTGACGTGCACGTCTGCCGGGAGACAGGGGACAAAGCTGATTGTGTCTCAGGAGGTTGTCCAGAGATCTGTCTCTATAACAAGGTTCATCAGAAACGGATGCTCTCAGATCTGAGGCACGAAGCAGTTCCTGAAGGAACACGGTGGGGGTGCAGGAAGGTGGGGGGTGGGTAGATGGACTGGATGATCTGGAGAGAAGAAATGTGTTTTCGGTCCCAAAGCATCAGTTCCTTTCTGCCTGGATCTTGGAGAGGGCTGCGGACAGCCAGACCTTTCCTGCATCTCACTGTGGCTCCCGCAAGGGCTCACACCCTGACAATGCATTTCCCCAAATGTCAGCTCCCATTCGTCATGCTGGGAGTGAGAAGGAGAAGCTGGGAAACGCCTAGGATCAGGCGGGCTTGCTGCTCAGTCACTGCACAGCGGCCCCAGCACACGGATGGGGCTAGAGTCAGTTACGAGCAGCTGAGTGTCTGTTCTAGCTGGTACCAGGACCCTGCTGCTCTAGATGCTAAGTATTTTTTATTTTTTTTCTTCATTGATTTTTTTTTTTAGAGAGAGAGGAAGGAAGAGAGAGACAGAGATAGAAACATCGATGAGAGAGAACATCGATTGTCCGCCTCCTGCATGCCCCTCACTGGGGATCAGGCCCACAACCTGGGCATGTGCCCTGACCAGGAATTGAACCAGCGACCTCTTGGTGCATGGGTCGACGCTCAACCACTGAGCCACACCAGCCGGGCTAGACGTTAAGTATTTTGAATATCACCTCTGGATGTAGGGATGCATCTTTGACTCCTTGAAATCTTCCCCATCCAAAGGAATTCTCCCAAGGGCTTTCTCTTTCACCTATAAGTGACTTAGGTTTAAGAAAAGTCAGTCCCCACTCACAGAAGCGGGCTAAGGGGCAGGAACAGAGTAGACCGGCGAGGGGCCGCTCCGGCCCTTCTCTCCTGCGACTGTGCTGTGCACAGGTGTGCAGAGTCGTTGCCTATCTGCCTTCATGTCTGTGGAGTCCTGAATCCAGCTTCAGCCCCAGGAGCCCTCAAAGGCTACGGAAGACCTGCATAGGTAGGGGACACAGGCGTCCCCACCTTCCTGCTGACAGTATACTGAGAATGACTTCCCCAGATCCTGAGCTGTGACCCTGGTTCAGAGAGTTTTGTAGCCAACTGGTCTCTGTTCTAACCTGGGCCCTCTCTGGCAGCTCCAGGCCAACGTGGGCTTCCAGGAGCCCCGAGGCTGCCTTAGTTCAAAAATAAACGATAACGACAGCAAATACTGAACCCCTTTGAAGGAAGACTTCTCAGCGGGGAAGAGGTCCGCTCAGGCCCTCGTAAAATCTGCACCCCTCTCAGGGTGATGGATGGACCTCAGAGGAAGCCAGAAACCCCCAGCCGCCTTGTTCACGCCGATGGTTCTGTAGGCGTCATCGTTCACAGCCTTCTGACCCCTTTCCCTTCCCACTTGCCCTACGTTGTTGAATCTCCTTTGGAAAGCAGCATATGGTTACGTAATCAATACCCTACCATGATCTCCCATGGCCTCCCCTCCACATCCCATAATACCTCCGACACACACGGCCAGTCCCCACTCAGGGCCCTGATTCCCTGACTTAAGGGAATATTTCTTCTGTCACCTGACCCAGGCTATAAACCTCTCTCCGTTTGAGACACGTAGGTTTCTCTTCAGGCCAATAACCTAGGCCTGACATCGTCTGCCGGCCCCGCTCCTGTCCTGAGCAGGTTGGGGTTCTCCCGCCGGCGCTGGCTCGGGGCCCCTGCCTTGTCCGACACCTCAGACCCTTCAAGCTCTCGTGTTCACGAGTCCTGCGGAAGAAGGAAGAGCAAAAGTCCGTGAGTTGGAGTTTCCCCTGCCCGCCGCGCTGGACGTGACTGCCAATGCCGCGGCCACTGGGCAGCTGGCCTCCAGACACAGGGACAGCCCTCTGCCTCGGTGCCCTCTGTCCCTTCTCATGTGAGCACGTGCTAGCAAACTCCGACAGTGCGCTGTCCCGATGCTTTTCTCCAAAGGTGCTGCGGAGGTTTGCTTCGCCGCTTGCCACTCCCGTGCCTGCAAAGCAGGTCTCTTATATTTGCACCCCTCTCCCCCCGGCAAGGAACCAGCCACTCATTCTGCTACCTCCCAGAGAACTCCAGAGGATGGACAGAAATACTCTAGTCTGCATTTGCACCTGAGCTGGGGTTTCTCTTCCCAGGACAGGAGGGAGTGATTACGCCCGAAGAAGACCCTAAATCTAGTCCGTCCCGCAGAGAGGCAACGCAGACCCACGTTTGTATACCTCATGAACTACTGAAATTCCAGCATTCAGACAGCTGTGTCCCCACGTGGCTTCCCCTTTCTAGAAATCACTACGTACCTCAGGCTGGATCCCAGTGCGGAGCGGTCCTCAAGCTAAGGTCTAGCGAGTAGGGAAGCTCAAAATGTGTTCAGTCATGTGCTTGTCAAATGTGATGCTTCTATTTTGTTAATATGTATGTGCTATGCACAAACCATATCATGTTCCAGCAAAAAAAATGAAAGGTCTTTTTATACGTTCCTCTAAACTGACTCCACCCCTCCTATTAAAACTGACAACGAATCTCTGGGTTGTGGTTAATGTGCATCTTTCCCACCCGTGCGGGAGGCAACGGGGAAGCAGGAAGCATGGATCCACACTGTCGGTATTAAAGGTGCACAGTGCGGTGGGTTATTGAGGCAGGAGAAGTCGTGCGGGCCACTTGGTTCAGTCGCCGTGTTTTATAAAGGGGGCATTTGGCCCAGAAGGGGTTCCACATTTCTGTGACCAGAACATTCGCTCATTCACTTATTCACCCATCAGAGAATATCTACTGAGCACCCTGTCTCTGCTGCACTGGGCTGGGGTTTGGGGACACGTGAGTGAGCAAAATTGACAGCCCCAGCGTCTTACAGACATGCATTAGGAGAAAGTCACCCAGGAGCGTGTTACAGTGCAGATCCCCCACCCGTGGGCTCAGGAGCCCGGCTCAGTAACACCCCCCAGAAGATGCTGACACTGCAAAGCCCTGGTCTCCCAAAGGGACTGGAATTGTAGAACATTGGAGCTAAGTGAGACTCCACAACTTATTTTAAAATCTCTTTATAGGTTAAAAGATTAGGGGTTTCAGTTCTTAGCCAGGACCATGGAGCCAGAACCAGCACCCAGGACTGCTGTGATTCCCTCTCGGGTGCACTGCCCTCCCCCACCTCCCCTCACACACCTGCCATCTCCCCACCAGGCTCCGCACCCTCAGCCCACACCGCCCCCTGCTTCCTCATGCAGGCCCGGGGAGGTTAAACGCGCCTTCAGCTGAGCAGCGTGGGTTCGGAATAAAC